CAGAGACTATAATGGACAGGGAGAAAGAAATGGTCCGAAGGTGAAGAAAAGAGGAAATGAAGAAGACAGCAGAGGTGGAGATGCTGCACGTGGTGGTGAACAATGGTTGAAGACACAGTTGGGCAGGAAGGTATGAGACGCGATGAAGAGGAATTGTGAACAGTGAAGAAAGTGTACAGAAGTGGAAAACAGAGCAAGGTGATGGTGGAAGAGAGTGAAGATACAGTTGGAGATGCTGAATCACGGCTGGAAGTGGAGGACTCAGCTTTTAGTGCTGCTCACTGAGGGGCTGAACATGATGATGTATGACGAAGGTGGAGGGTACATCTGGGTTGAGAAAACTCACTAAACTTGACTGCTAAGGAAATGGAGCGTGGAGGTTGTAGCTGAACTTGTTGGAGTGAATACCGAGTTGATGGACTGAAGCACAAGAAAAAAAAAATGAACACAGTAGTGAAGGAGGTTGTACACGAATGAACAGAGGGAAGACAAAGAGGAATGCGAAGTTGCTGCCAATGCTCAGTGGAGAAGAAAGCTGGGTCAAGTAAGATTGAGGGATGCTGCACACAACTGAGTAAGAAGAATGAGTTGCAGACAGGGGTGAAGCACACTGTTGGTCAAGAAGGACTGAGTGTTGTGGCTGAAGGATGAAGAAGGACGAAGGTGAAAGAGAAACAATTAGGGTAAAAGCATAGAGGGGTAAAACTATAAAAAAAAATTATTTATTTAAATGTATATAAAAAAAAAAAACAAAAGCTACACTTTTGTTTTTGTTAAGTGCAAATAAAGTAAAGCAATCAGTAAAATATATGAATATATAAATACATTTTTTTTGAATTTTTTTAGTAAAATAAAAATAATAAACTAAAATAGTATAGATATATATATATATATATATATTTTAATTTTTTTAATAAAATATTCTTTTATTCAAAATAAAATATTTTATAGTAATAAAATAATATTTTTTTTTGAATTTTTTTCAAGGTAAACAAATATTCACAAATTTATTCTTATTAAACTAAAAAAAAACTTTTTTTTTAACTCAACTAAAAATTTTGCTCTAATGAAGCAAAATTTCGCTCCAGCAAAGATGCTCTCAATAAGTTAGTTAAGCATTTCATAGAATAGTCTTTCACTCCAGCAAAACAAAGTTTCACTTCAATGAAGGTGCCCTCTAGAATTTTTGATAAAAAGTCAAAGACGCATCTACCACTAGAGCGAAATGATATTTTGCTTCAGTGAAGGTGTTCTCTAGAATTTTTGATGAAAACACAAAGATACCCTTTGCTGGGGCAAAATCCTCTTTCGCTGAGGCAAACAAAACAAAGAACAAAAATACTCAAAATCTAAGAGAATTATGCAAATGAAGAAAAAACTCATGAAAAACATAGCCTAAACACCTCCCAATCAACACAATCATCATATCAAACCTGCTTCCACACCTCCTAACATTTAATTAAAAACTTTCAATCCAGAATTTCATCAACACTAGGTCTTGATCCTATATAAAAACATATAAATATCATCAATTAAGCACAAGGATAGAATACTCCCCCAAAATATTGTTGGCCCATTCTTTGATTCCAAAACTTGGCTTTGAGGTTTCAAATTCTTCAAGAACTTTGCAATCTTACAAACACACCAAAATAAAAGAAGAACAAACCAAAGATATAGAAAACAAACAAACTAAAAACACAAGTAAATAAAGAATAAACTTGGGTCGCCTCCTAAAAAGCGCTTGGTTTATAGTCTTTAGCCAGACTCTCTCAGATCATCAAGGTGGGTCAAACAAGTGGATAACAGACTTCAATCGCTCTATGTCACCTCCCCAATGATGCTTGAGTCTTTGTCCATTAACTTTGAAAGGTTTATCCATTCTTTCATCAAGAACCTCAATTGCTCCATGTGGTGTTACAGAAAGCACTTTAAAAGGGCCAGACCATTGAGATTTTAGCTTCCCAAGAAATAACCTTAGTCTAGAATTGAAAAGAAGAACTAGTTGTCCTGGCTCAAAAGTTCGATGCAAGATATGTTGGTCATGCCATCGCTTAGTCCTCTCTTTATATAACTTTACACTTTCAAAAGCATGGTATCTAAACTCTTCTAACTCATTTAATTGCAAAATCCTTGATGCACCAGCTTGCTTAAAATCCATATTCAGTTGTTTAATTGCCCACCAAGCTTTATGTTCCAACTCAAGAGGCAAGTGGCAAGCTTTACCAAATACCAAGTGATAAGGGGACATCCCAATTGGAGTCCGGAAAGCAGTACGATATGCCCAAAGAGCATCATCTAACTTATCCAACCAATCTTTTCTAGTAGGTCCCACTGTCTTCTCAAGTATCAGCTTGATCTCTCTATTGGTTAGCTCACAAAGGCCATTGGTTTGTGGATGATAAGCAAGAGACATCCAGTGGTGAACTCCATATTTTAACAAAAGAGCTTTGAATTGCTTGTTGTTGAAATGAGTTCCCTCATCAATGATAATAGCTCTATAAGTGCCAAACCTTGTAAAGATGTTCTTTTTCAAGAACCGGATCATAGTATTGCCATCATTGGATTGACAAGCCATAGCTTCCTCCCACTTGCTTACATACTTCACAGCAACAAGTATGTACTGATTGCCTCTTGAAGAAGGAAATGGTCCCATGAAATCTATCCCCTATACATCAAACAATTCCACTTCTAAAATTCCAGATTGAGGCATCTCATGTCGCCTTGAAATATTACCTGTCCTTTGACATCTATCCCACTTAGTAACAAAATGATGAGCATCTTTAAACAAAGAAGGCCAATAAAATCCACATTCAAGAACTTTAGATATGGTCCTTTGCCCCCTATAATGCCCCCCATATGAAGATGCATGGCATGTATGTAAAATGGCTTCTTGTTCTATTTCAAGAACACATTTTCTAATGATCAAATCAGCACATCTTTTAAACAAAAATGGTTCATCCCAAATATAAAAATCAATATCATGCAAAAATTTCTTCTTTTGAAAAGGCTTCAAATCAAAAGGTAACACTCTACACACAAGATAATTCACAATATCCACATACCATAGTAAATCACAAGTACCAACAACAAATAATTGCTCATCAAGAAAATTTTCAACAATCAACAAGTCATCACCATAATCAGAAACATGAACAAGTCTAGCCAAGTGATCAGCAACCCGATTTTCAGTTCCTTTCCTATCAACAATTTTCACATCAAATTCCTGCAACAACAAAACCCATATAATGAGCCTAGGTTTAGATTCTTTCTTATTCAACAAATATCTAATAGCAGCATGATCAGTATGAACTATAACCTTAGCACCTATCAGATAGACTCTAAACTTTTCAAAAGCAAAAACAATAGCAAGCATTTCTTTTTCAGTAGTTGAGTAATTTATCTGTGCGCCAACTAAAGTCTTGCTTGCATAGTAGATAGGATGAAAAATCTTTTCGCACCTTTGTCCAAGCACTGCTCCAACAACAAAATCACTTGCATCACACATGACCTCAAAAGGAAGTGACCAATCAGGAGCAACAATGATAGGGGTAGATGTTAATCTACTCTTCAACTCTTCAAAGGCCTTTGTACACTCTTCATTGAAATTGAAAGGAGTGTCTTTTTCAAGAAGTTGAGATAAAGGCTTTGAAATCTTGAAGAAGTCCTTGATAAATCAATGATAGAAGCCAACATGCCCTAAGAAACTTCTCACAGCCTTTACATTAGTGGGTGGTGATAACTGCTCAATGATTGAAGTCTTAGCCCGATCTACCTCAAGACCCTTCTTGGAGACTTTATGACCTAGAACAATACCTTCAGTTACCATAAAATGGCCTTTTTCCCAATTAAGCACAAGGTTAGTCTCCTCACATCTTTTCAAGACTTTATCCAAGTTGGACAAGCACTGTTCAAATGATTCTCCAAAAACAAAGAAGTCATCCATAAACATCTCCATAATTTCTTCAATCATATCAGAAAAGATGCTAATCATGCACCTTTAAAAGGTGACAGGTGTATTGCAAAGACCGAATGGCATCCTTCTAAAGGCAAAAGTGCCATAAGGACAAGTAAAAGTTGTTTTCTCTTAGTCCTCAAGAGCTATAGCAATCTAATTATAGCCTGAATAACCATTTAAGAAGCAAAAGAACTCCTTGCCAGCCAATCTATCTAGCATCTGGTTAATGAAAGGAAGAGGAAAGTGATCCTTTCTTATGGCATCATTTAACTTCCTATAATCCATACAAATGTGCCATCCAATGACTGTTCGGGTCGAAATTAACTCATTTTGTTCATTGCTAACCACTGTCATTCCTTCTTTCTTAAGAACACATTGTACCAGGCTAACCCATGTACTATCTTAAATGGATAGATTATCCCAGCATCTAACCACTTGAGTATTTCCTTCTTGACCACTTTTTTCATCACAAGGTTTAATCTTCTCTAATTTTGAACAAACTTCTTATGATCTTCCTCTAACAAAATCTTGTGCATCACAATAGATAGAGTTATACCTTTGATGTCTACAATTGTCTACCCCAAAGCTTACTTGTGATCTCAAATAACCCTTAGTAATCTCTCTTTTAATCATCAAACAAAGCAGAAGAGATGATAATAGGCAATGTCTCAGATTTACCCAAATAAGCATGAGTGAGGTGAGGTGGCAAAGGCTTAAGCTCCAATATTGGTGCTTGCTCAATTGAGGGTTTTAGGGATGGAGCTTGTCTAGATTTTAGCTCTAAAGATTCAAATACCCTTTTGGAATTGAGATAGTGAGGAGATGCTTGAAGAAGCTTCTTACATTCAACAATATCATCATTTTCAACCACATCATTTCCCAATAATATAGCATGTAGTGAGTCTTTCATAGTAAAAGACTCTAAAGTCTCTCGAACTACCTCATCTAGGATATCTACTCGAGAATAAATTTCATATTCCTCAGGATACTTCATTACTTTGTGCATGTTAAAGCTAACTTCTTCATCATTCACTATAAGTTTGATCTATCCTCTCTCAACATCAATGAGAGCTCGTGCTGTAGCTAAAAATGGTCTACCCACAATGAGTGAGAGATCTCTATCTTCATCACAATCCAAGACAATGAAATCAATAGGGAAAATAAATTTATCAACCTTGACCAAAACATCCTCAATTTTACCTTTAGGAAAAGCCAAACTTCTACCGGCTAATTGAAGAGTCACTGAAGTGGGACTAGCTTCACCAAGTTGCAATTTTCTAAACACAGAAAGTGGCATCAAATTGATACTTGAGCCTAAATCACATAATGCCCCACCTTGAAATTTGTCTCCAATCATATAAGGAATTGAGAAGCTACTTGGATCATGGCATTTAGGAGGTAGCTTGTTCAAGAGAATAGCACTACACTCTTTAGTAAGCGCAACCGTTTCACACTTACCCAATCTTCGCTTCTTACTCAACATGTCTTTCAAGAATTTAGCATATTGAGGCATTTGTTCTAAAGCTTCAATAAGAGAAATGTTGATGTGCAATTACTTGAAAATTCCTAAGAATTTCTTGTATTGCTCCTCTAATGCCTTCTTTTGAAATTTTTGAGGGAATGGTAAGGGTGGCACCTAAGTAAGATGATCACTAGTCAATCCCTCTTTCTTAGATGTTGTCACTGCCTCTTTTGAGGACTCCTTCTCAATGTCATCTTTAACAATCACAATTTTAGCTTTAGGAGACATAGAAGATACCTCTTGCTCAGTTTGATCAACTTCTGGCTTAAGTGTAGACTCAGGTGTAGGAGAGGAAATTTCAGATAATTTCTTTCCACTCCTTAAGGTAATTGCCTTGCACTCCTTATTTCCTTCTTTATAAGGATTAGTCTCCGTATTGCTTGGTAATCCTCCTTTATGAAGTGTAGTCACAGCAATTGCAATTTGCCCCACTTGAACCTCAAGATTCTTAAGGGATGAATCAACTCTGGCATTAATGGCCGCTTGTTCTTGATTACTCTTAATCTGAGAACTCATCAACTTAGCCATCATATCTTCTAAGTTAACTTTCGGCTCTTGAATAGGAATAGACTACTTTTCAACTTGAGGAAAACCCGGAGGAATGATTGGCTTTGCACTAGAAGATGAAGCTTGATTAAGGATTGCAATATTTCTCAAAGAAAAGTTGGGATTCTGACGCTACCCAGGATTGTAAGTGTTTGAAAATGGGTTGACTTGATTATTACCACAATAATTCCTAGCATAATTAACCGTCTCAATTTGTTGAGATAGATGGCACCAGTTAGTCGCACGTGCATCTCCACAATAATCACACTGAGCATATATGGCATAAGCTCCCATAGGCCCACCATTGTTTCGATCAACACGTGCTTCTAAGCGATCAAATCTTTTACTCAGAGTTTGAAGTATAGGTACCACTTGTGAAGATGAAGAGTCATCAGCAACTCTTTCTAGTGGTCTCCCAGGTCTCCTGTCATTGTTGTTCTAAATGTAATCAGCAGCAAGATCATCTAAACAATTCCAAATATAGTTCACTGGTTGCTTTGTAATCCTACCATTAGTGACTGAATTCATTTCAGACTTAGATTCTGGCATCAACCAACTACTAAAGACTTGAATCAAAACTCAATTCTCTTGATTATGCCCTGGACTCTGCTTCACCAATTGCTTGAACCTTTCCCAAGCTTCATACAAATGTTCACCAAACTGTTGATTAAAATTAAGAATGTTAGCTCTAGAATCAACCATCTTGTTGTGTGGGAAAAATCTAGATCTGAACTTGCTTTCCATTTCTTCCCATGATAAGGCACTACCTTCATCCAAATTGTTGAGCTAATCCTTAGCTTTCCCTTGTAGAGAGTCAGGGAAGAGTCGAAGACGAATGACATCTTGAGGAACTCCATTTTGCTTGAATAAGTCACAAATGTCAATGAAGTTAACCAAGTGTCTATTAACGTCCTTATCTTGATTTCCAACAAATTGCCCATTCATCTCAATCATCTTAAGCATGGTTTGCTTAATCTCAAAGTTATTAGCTTAGAAGTCAGGCACTTTAATCCCAGACTGATATCCTCTAGCTTGTCTACCGAAGAAATCAGTAACACATAGCCTGTCATTCTCATCCTCAGCCATCTCTTTGTTTGTAACCTTTTCACCAATTGGAGGTTGTGTGTGAGGTGAACTAGCTTCCAAGATTTCTTTGAGACTCCTTGTTCTCACAAGTGTCTTTTTTGACTTAGCACTTCATGGCATGCAAAATAGTCCTGCAAGAACAAGAAAAGATCAAGGATCGAATTGAACAAAATAAAAGAAAACAAAATAACAAAATAAATGCCTAAGCAAAAACAACTCAGGGTCCTCTAATGCTAATTAGCAATTTCCTAGAGTTCCCCAACAACGGTGCCAAAAACTTAGCGCACAAAAAATGTTTCACCGTAAGTGTACGGGTCAAAGTGCAATATAATAGTGCGTCAAGGTTGATCCCACAAGGAATCAAGCATAATAGCAATTAGCCAATAAAATTTTCATTTTTGTTCACGTTAAGCAAAACCAATTAGAAGCGATTGATTGAGCAAAATTTAAAAGTGAAATGAATAAAATGCAATAAGATTCCCAATCCAACAATCACAAATGTCTAATGCAACCTAAAGTCACTAATCCCTTGCTAGCTTCATACATCTTGCTTTTTACCCAATTAATTAATTTTAATGCTAATTTTGTTAATCTAGAGCATTAATGGCTATAAGGGTCTTTTGAACCTCAAATAACGCTCTCTCAAATTAATTATGTTATTTCTAACAAAATTACCTAAGAGGCAATTTTAATTCCAACTCACTCTAATTTGATTATATGAGGCAATTAGGTATATTTCTATCCTAATTACAAATTAGATTATAGTCTAATCTCATATTACTCAACCTAAAGGTCCAAATGAGATTCCCCTTTGTCAAGGAAAAACCCCAATACCTAAATTCATATTTAATGATGGTCAAACATTAAATAGAAAAATTAATGCATGATTGAGCAACCAAAATTAATATTAAGCATAACCAATGGGTAAAAACAAGCTCTAATCTACTAACTAGTTCATAGTTACTCTAAGTCAAATGTGTTCAGCTATTAACGGCCATTAAAACAACATGAAGCAACAATATTTAGCAAAAGATACATCAAAATGTAGAGAAAAGGGAGAAGAAAGCTTAGGAAGGATGATTTCTGTCACAAAATCACAAGACCCAAGTGTTCTCCAAGCTTCTCCAACTCTTTCTCCACCTTAGAATGCTCCCTGGACGTGCAACTACTGGTTGAAGACGAACTGGAACTGATATGAGGTGCCTCAAGCCCTAAAAATTCACTGAGAGTCAAAACTATGCATTTCATTAAAATCGCGTTTTGCTGCAGCAAAATGCGTTTTTGCTACAGCGAACATAACCTGTTCAGATTTTCTTTTCAGATTTAATTTCTTTGACTTAGGCTCTGAAATTCTCTTCTTTGGGCCCCTAAGTTGGGCCTCCCTACATGCATAAAATCTAGAATAAATGATAAAATTGGTCCACTAACTTCCAACATATTTCCAAGCCCATTTTCACACACATTCATCTACTTAATCATATTTTTCCTAACCAAATTCCAATAAATGACTTCCAATTACATTAAAAATACTAATAAATTCAATAAAATATTGGAAGTCATCAGTGAGATTTTGAAATCTCTGTAGATATTTAGAGCAACTGCATTACCGTATGAACCAATAAGGCTCTGCAAGTATAGCAGTTAAAATTTCCAATCATAAAACATAAAAGAAAAATAATTTTAAACTCTTTTCTTTCTTTATTCCAAAAATTGAGAAAATAATTAAAATTAAATTACTTTTTACAATTTAAAACGCACATCAAAATTCCAAAAATTGTTTTATTTGCAAAATGGTGAATTATTTCTAATTAATTTCTCTTTTAAAAAAATATATTTTCACTAACAACTTTCAAGCCCAAACTATGTGAACTTTGATTCCATCACAGGGTACGTAAACCTCAGAGTCGGATTCTAAGTCAAGTCCTCCCTCGTAAATAAATAAATAAATATTTCTTACTTAATTCTTATCATTTTTATATCAAACACATGAATATAAAAGGGATAATTAAAATAATTTTAAAACCATATTAATATAGCACAACAAACTTCAAGTAACCGTTCTCACGAATGGGTATTGTGGGATGCCTAACACCTTCCCCACACTCAATCGACTCCTGAACCTATTTTCTGTTTTCGCAGACCATCTTTATTCTCCTTTAAATGGTTTCCCAAGATTTTCCTCAAAATCTTGGTGGCGACTCCTCGTTCATTCGGTTCCCACCTTGAAAGTCAGAACTTTCACTCCTACGCCGTCCGTGTCGCATTTTCCGGGTGCGAGAAACATCTTAACAATAATCTCTTAACTTTTGAATAAGTGATTTTATGGCAGATATGAAGTATAGCATTCATTATATCTTGAAATTTTTGTTGCAATGCTAGATAAAGTTTGTCAATAATCTCACAATTTCTTTTATCAAATATAAAAAATGAAAACAAAATCAAATGATATCAATTCTTTAAGGGCATATGTAAGTAGCACCATCTCTTTGAAAATGAGAACTATATATACATGCATAAAAGATTACATATAAAATTGAAATGTGATAATTCCTTTTAATGTTTTCATGTCTCTATAATGTGTAAAATCAAATGATATCAATTCTTTAAAAGCATATATACATAGCATCATCTCTTTGAAAATGAAAACTATATATACATGTGTAAAAGATAACATATAAAATTAAAATAAAACTCCATTTAGTGTTTTCATGCCTATGTAATATATCAACTTAGGCAGCCAAGATTATATAACCCCTACATTGTACTAAGAACAAAATTAAAAAGTGGGGGGCATGTCTCCCCCTAATCCCCTATCTCCACCCTTGAGTATGAGTTTGAAGGCATTCAATTGTTTTTAATGATTTTAAATATAATATTCATAATCATTGACCAAAGGGTTTGATAGTACTAATGGGGACCAACCCATTATGGCCAACCTTATATGCTAATGGGGGCCAACCTTAAGGGGGGCCAACCTTATGGCCATTTCATGTATGTGTGGAGTACTAGGGTTAGCGTGTATGTGGTTGAGTGTCCCAAAAAAAAAAAATTACTCCCTTTCCCTCTCACAAATGCTTTTCTACGCAAAGTCATAAATGAACTCTCCCATTTTCATATATGTATAACTAGATTCTAACCCTGTGCACGGAAGAGTAAAAACTTCAATGAAATCACATTCAAGGAAGGGAGATAATGAAAGAATCTAGGTTATTAGTTTTATTTTGGTCTTTTGTGCTGTGTTGTTGGCATTATTAATGAATTTTCAGTATTTATTAAAAAAAAGCACATTCTAATTAAAACATGAGTAATAATGCTATCAATGTCCAGTATACCTCAACAATTAACATCCAACCTACTTAGTTTCTGGCCCCAAAAAAACGAAAAGAAAATCCATCCTACGAGGACATAAAAATTTATTATAAGTCATCTCTTAGACAAACAAAAACATAATTAACCGATAAATTAAAAAGAATAAACTTATTAGCAGGGTTAGCGACTTCCAAAACAGCATTACAGTATCAGGAAAAAAATAAAAATAACAAAGGGTCATAACTGCACCATTAATTGCCTCCATTGCTGCCCTTTTGAATGTTTGGGTCTTTAACAAAAAGGATCACTCATGCCTTCCTTGCCTGTATTACAGCCCAATCCAAAAGTTAAAAATGAAGTGGGGGAAAAGCATGTAAAGAACAGTAAAAGCATGCCTTTTACATATAGTAAAATAAGAAATAATATAAGCTTGCATCCATTATATGGAAAGGACACTGAAAACATGCTTTCAACTAAACTATGTCATGTAAAGCCATACATGCATGTGTGGCTGAGCAAGTTTAAATTTTGCAAGAAATGTAATGTGTAAGCTGTTTGTGCATGCCTCCGAAAAAAGAAACACATGA